TGCTATATCAGCTCAGACAGAACCAAAAACCTATGAGCAGGCAGGCCAGCATGAAGTGTGGAACAATGTCATGCATCAGGAATTTAATGCCCTTGAGCATAACAAAACATGGATAGTTTTTTCTCTGCCTGCAGGTAAGAAGAAGATTGGATGCAAATGGGTGTATAGGATCAAATACATGTCAGATGGTGAAATTGAAAGATACAAGGCTAGGCTGGTTGCAAAGGGATACACTCAACGAGAAGGCATAGATTATCTGGACACCTTTGCTCCAGTGGTGAAAATGACAACAGTTAGAACCTTCTTAGCAGTTGCAGCAGCTAGAAATTGGCATCTCCATCAATTAGACATTAATAATGCCTTTTTACACGGGGACCTCAATGAAGAAGTTTATATGGCTTTGCCTCCTGGTATCACTCCTCCATCTCCCACTCCAAATCCAGTTTTTATGTTACCTAAGTCCCTATATGGCCTTAAACAGGCCTCCAGACAGTGGTTCTCCAAACTTTCTAACAACTTACTTCATCATGGATATTCACAGAGTGAGGCAGACCATTCTTTGTTTACTAAGGTTACAGATACTTCCTATACAGCCATCCTCGTTTACGTTGATGATTTGATTGTGGGGGGGGGGGGGGATGATTTACAGTAGATTACTAGTATTAAGGCTCATCTTCACCAAGCATTCAACATTAAGGACCTCACTGTTCTCAAATTCTTTCTTGGCCTTGAAGTGGCCAGATCTCCTAAAGGTATTCATCTTTCTCAACGTAAATATACTCTCAAATTGCTTGATGCAGCTGGTCATTTAGGAGTTAAACCAGTGACAACTCACATGGATTACAAGTTACATTTGAGTACTAAAAATGGAAGTGATCTAGTAGATCCTACTGCTTATCGAAGTCTAGTTGGGAAACTCATATACCTCACAACAACGAGACGATAAATAAGTTTTGCTACTCAGCAAGTTAGTCGGTATATGAGTTCTCCATCTGTCATTCAGAAGAAGGGTGTCACCAAAATTTTGAGGTACATCAAGAAAATTCCTGGTCATGGCCTCTTCTTTCCTGCCAAGTCTCCCCTTACTCTCAAAGCCTTCAGTGACTCAGATTGGGGGTGCTTGTCCTGATACACGCAGATCCATCACAGGGTATTGTGTCTTTTTTGTAGGATCTCTGGTTTCCTGGAAATCTAAGAAGCAAACCATTGTGTCTCGTTCCTCATGTGAAGCTGAGTATAGAGCTTTAGCATATACCACCTGTTAAATGCAGTGGCTATTGTTTCTTCTCAATGACTTCAAGGTTCCTCATCCATATCCAGTCAGCCTCTATTGTGATAATCAATCAGCAATTTACATAGCTGAAAATCCTACTTTCCATGAAAGGACTAAACATATAGAACTTGATTGTCATCTAAAACATGACAAGCTCCTTGCTGGTGTCATCAAAGTTCTTCATGTTGCTTCAGATCATCAGCTTGCCGATGTCTTCACTAAACCTTTGTCTCCTGCCCCTTTCAGTTCTCTTATCTCCAAGCTTGGGGTACTGAATCTGTACCCTCCGGCTTGTGGGGGGGGGGGGGGGGGTAACAGAAGAAACCAACATAATTTTTTCTTCTTCAGGAGCCGAACCCGGTTCAGGAGGAGAAGGTATATGCACCAAGTGAAGCGGCGTCGTTCCATCCTTCCCTGAAGCAGATCTAGGTGTCACGTGTCGCGTGCATATTGGAGTTTTAATAACCAATGAGACACGAGCTTTCCCAACGGTCTGGACATATATTGTTTTTACTATTCACCTTCTCTGTAATTGTTTTTCACCAACAGAGCTGGATGTTTTTTGGATTGTAGCTTGGACTATATATCAGTAATGAGAAGAAGGAAAGGGGTAAGTTTGAAACCCTAATTTTCCACAACCAAAACGTTGTTACTAACTTGCGCCTCATTTATGCAGTTGCCTCCATTCACGCGGGCCTCCTCCTGTCGACAGCCCACGAGCCCAGGCCCAGGACAGCTGGACCTAATTACGGGCCCAACATCATGCTGCTGGCGGGAGATGGGATGATCCCGTTCGGATTCGAGTTGTTGGCGAGGTTCTAATCTGACAAAGATTTTTTCGACAAAGTTCTACGTGCAATTGTCGGGATCTCACTTGTAGCCAACTCTCAAGGGATGGTGGAGGGGTCGAGCAATTCAAATTATAATTTATAATATTATCGAATATGAAATGAATCACAAAATTGAAAATAATATCACTATTTTTTCCTGCATTTACAAGCCGATATCTTTCATCCTACAGTCATTATGTGCAATAGAAATATGAATATTTGTTTCTTACTTATCGTCATATTATTAAGCTCTCAAACAAATTCTCAACTTTGGCCCCACCCCTATACCTCTATTTGAGCATCGGTTTCTCCTTTCTGCCTTTTCCTTTTTCTAGAAGGGCAGCTAATCCATGATAGCTTGTAACCAAATCCAATGTGATGGGGAAAAATCTAAAATTGCTCAAAATGGGAGGAATGAAACCAAAAGGAAATGATGGGTTAGAAAAACGTGATGAATTGAAAATGTAAAGAAATTAAAAAATATAACTTAAATTTTGGTACGGTAACACAAACAAATTAGTGGTCCAAAACCTTTGCTACCCAGGTAAATCCTACAAGTTCAATACATGGAGGTTTAGATGTATGATGTATCAGCAGCCTGTAGAGTACTCTAATTTTCTTCTATTTATTCATAATCAATAACCACGCGGACACGTGCTCGACTTCTCATAAGCCATATCACCTCCTCCACTTTCCGTCTTCATAATGGCTAATAATATACAAGCAATTGCATTTGCACCACTTTGGTTCAACTATATAGTGGTAAATTTTTTATATGAGTTTGGATTAAACATAATATCCGTAAACATGGTTAGATTCATAAAGGTCATATCTCATGAGTTTTTAATCAGAAGTGGGGACGAGAGTGATTAATTCGAGGTTTGATATCGATACATCTGCAAATAACTTGACAGGTGGGAGATTGATGTAAGTAAGCCGCACCTTATTTTCACATGACAAAAAATTGCTTCTTGTTTATTTATACTATCAAACATTCGTCATATTTCCTTATTGCTCTACACGCTTATCATCAACTTCTAAAGGCGAAGAGTAAAAGATGTTCATGGACTACTATTATTGATTACAATGTCGTGTAATGTTCATTAGATATTGGCATGCAAATTATAAATTATAATTGTATCTAAGTCACAAAATGCGTGAGTTTTTTTAACACTATTGGTTGATGGGGTAATGAAATTTTTTATACAAATATTACGCGGATCCACATGCGACAAAGTGGAAAGTGTCCAAAATTGCTACATTCTTAATAATATGCGAGGAACTTGTTAAAAACGGTAGTCAACTTTCTTAATTACTAGTTAAAGAATTGTTGTTACGGGTTAACCCACAAGCCAACCACATCCATCCGCCACCAACCCGGAAAAAGAATGTGAGTGCATAATGGATCACAATTATACAAACCTACTAATAAGCAGAAGAATCAATTTGAGACCAAACCCAACCCAATCCACCCATTACCACACCTATTTCTAATGTTAACTCAATTTTTATATGGTCGAATAGAATCCTATTAACAGAATTGAAGAATACATGAGCAATCATAATTGAAGTCTTTAATTTATACCAACATCATTTTGACTTAATTTATAAAGGGCTAAATTACACGTTTGGTCACTCAAATTATATAAATTTTTCACGTTTGCCACTCAAATTACGTTTCTTTCATATTAGCCACTAACTTTACAATTCGTTTCACCATTAGTCACCGATCGTTAGCCTCCGTCAGATTCCGTTACCACCGTAAGATTTTTGATGATGTGGCAAACGTAAGTTCTTACTGGACTGATAGTAAAACAAAACTATAAAAAATACCCGACCCAATTGTCGAAAACCAGGTTTAATTTTCTTCTCTTATATCTCGATCTTTGCCTTGCTTCTTCTACCTTCTGCCGGCAAACACGACCATGGAGAGACAAGAGGGCTCGACGACTGTATCAACCAGTCGACCCTCCTCTGTTCTCTCTCGCCCTCTTTCTCTTTCTCTCTCTCTCTCGGGTCGGTAACCGGACTATGATTCAAAGGCGTATGTGGGTTATGGATGTTTGCCATCATAGACAGAGAGGTAGGAATCGCCAAGGCTTGATCCCTTCCAAGCCTCCACCGCTCCAAACAAAACACCATCCTCCACCGGTGTCCGTTGCTTTATCCTCTAAAAATAAGATGTTATTCCCTCTTTCTCCAACCTAATAGTAATACTCATCTGTCAACCCACACCATTTTCGACCACCTTCAACCACCATTTATGCCACCAGGAATGGCGAGAAGAAATAGAGATGAAGAATGAAGGAAGTAGGTAGGAATCAAAAAATGAAACTAATTAATTAGCCCTTCTCGCCCCTCTGTTTATCTCTCTACAAAAAACACATTTTAGCACTAATTAAACTCCACAAGGGCGACGCATCTGGAGTCAATCAAAGTGAAGGTGATAGATCGGCGGATCTGGAGACGATTGGCAACTCTTCGATTCCTTGTCATCTATGCCGGAAGATCTTAGGACGATCGGCATATTAAGACCAGCATGTTTCTTTTCCTCTTCTTTTGCTGCATTTAAGGAAGAGGGCCATAGAACGACGACGGCGGGGGCAAAGGCCTGCAGACAGAAGACGATCAAGGTAGGTTGAAGAAGGGAAAGGTGGGGTCCCAGATTTTTGTCTAATTATTTTTTTCGATTTTTAATTTTGTTAAATTGACATGTCATTAAGTTAACAATCTAGTCAACATTTTCCTTTGCCACGTCAGATGGCGTTAATTCAGTCTGACGGAGACTAATTGTCAGTGGCTAATGGTGAAACGAAATGTAAAGTTAGTGGCTAATATGAAAGAAAAGTAATTTCGGTGGCAAACGTGAAAGATTTATGTAATTTGAGTGACCAAACGTGTAATTTAGCCATTTATAAAGTGAATGAAATGCCAAGTTGAAGATTTTTTACCTTATGAAGAATTGAGATGTATATACAGTTATACACATAGGCATCAATCACCCCAAAAGACAGAAACAGAAATATGAAATCCCATAATAGAGAGACTCGAACAAGAGTAAAAGAAGAAGCCATATGATGATGAATCCTGACCAGAAACAGCTAACCAGTAACTGCCTTGCTAGCTAGCTAGATATCCTAAACAGCCATTAAAGCCCCACCCAAATCTACAATTTTTGACACCAACCGCCACAAAAAGATTGTGCAAAATCCACCCGAATCGGCAAAAGAATAAATCAGATTCATTGATTTCAGGGGGATTCAAGAAACCCTGTTCTGGTCAAAATGGCGTTCCTGACTTTGCTAAGGTCCCTCCCTTTCAGCTTCCTCCCAACACCTTCCAACACAGAGAAGGACGAAATCTGGGTCATCGCCATCCTCCTCGAAATCATCTCGTGCGGCGGCTCCATATGGTTGATACCGTACTCCTCCACGTCATCACCATCGTCACCACATTCTTCATCCTCATCGTCGTCGTCATCATCATCGGAGCCCATCCACGCATTGGTGGGCTTCTTGGAGCTTTTCCTGGGCCACTGCTTTTGGCCGCTAATCTTGGACCAGTCAGGGATGTTGACGGGGGCTGACTGCTGTACCAACACCTTTACGGCGCCCGCCTCGTTGTCGCTGCTGCTACTTCCGCCGCCAATTGGGATCATTCTGGCGGCGGAGGGGAAGTTTCTGTAGGGGAGAGAAGAAGGGGGAGGATCAGAGTACTGGTCCATGGAATTGGTTTTACTCTGCCGCAACACATCCCAAACATCTTGCTCGTCGTAATCCCCGTCCCTCAGAGATCTCCACACCCCGTTCCCTTGCCAATCCGAGTCATGCCTACCACCCATTCGACCAATTTACTGAACCAATTTATATACATCAGCATCAATATATAGACACGGAAAAACAGAGGCGGGGAATCGGTAAGGCAAGAGGAATCTACCTTTTGCTGGATCAGAAACCACCAATCTTTCAGGGGAGAAGAAGGGGGAAGGGGGTTCACGAAAAAGAATCGAACTTTGGGCCTGGAATTCGTAATTTCCCCAATCCGAGATATCTGGTGGGTCAGAGAGAAAAGAAGCTGAAAAGGTTAGAATCTTTCTGATCCTGTTGTATCAGTATATCAAATTCAGCGAATAACAGAGAGATAACAAAAGCAAAGAAGAAAGAAACGGGTTGAACAGCAGAAAAAGGGGGATTCCTGACCTGGGTTTAAGAGGTTTCAGAGAGAACCGCCTCTTTATAGCTTCTTTCCTGAGATTCTGCAGTTGTGTTCTGATGCTGAAGAATGAATAGATATCCCACCAATAGCAGAGGAAAGAAAATCAAAGAAAGGACATGCAGAGCGCTTTCGTCCAGTGCTTGGGATATAGAAAGAGAGAGATCTCCTCTCCTCTCCTCTCCTCCTGGAATTATGATGAGAGAGCTTGGGGTTTTTCTTTGTGTCTGTTTCTGCTGGCTTTTCCTTTCAATGGCCCCTTGAGAATTAACATACAACCCCCTTTAAATTATAAAACAACCCACCCCACCCACCTCAAAACAAAAACTAATAATCACAAAAATACATTTTAGAAAACAATAATACAAAAAGGAAAAATGAGCAGAGCTGGATCCTGGTGATATCACTTTCCAGGAGGAATCGCTAACATCATCAGAGGAGTTTGATGGCTGCTGCGGCTATGTCTGTGTGCATATAATGTATTGTCTTTACAGGCAGGAATTCAATCACCACCACCATCCCATATACGAAGACAACAAGTTGATTGGGATAATTAAACAAATATTGCAGAAATAATTACAGAAATATACATATGGGAACAAAAAGAAGCTGGAAAGGAAGGTGGTGGTGTGGTGGGGGATATGTGGGTTTCAAGGGTGGAAAGGCCAGGAAATGGTGGCTGGGTGGGCTGACTGATGAACTTTTTCTCTTTGCTTTTCTGTAGGAATGTCATGAACATGGAAGTTGGTGATACCCTCACCAGAGGGATTGCTGGAGAAGGATTTTGGTTTCCCCTCTTGTAGGGTGGGTTCAAAGGGAGAGCTTATCATGTAATCGTTTCAACCGGTAGTATTTGGATAATTTAGTTTGATTAATTTGGATAATTGGTTTGCTTTGGTTGAACTTTTTAGCTTGTTTGATTTAGGTGGTTTGCTTTGGTTCAGGCACTGCTAACCAATCAAACCAAATTAACCAATTAAGTAATTAGCCATATATCTAATATATTATATATATACATATTTAATAATTTGCATAACCACTCAAGAGTCAAATGTCCCTCTATTTTAGCCTCATAAAAATAAAGCTCAATATCATTTTCCTATTGTATATTTGTATTTGTAGAATGTAGACCACAACATATGGGCGACTAGTTTAGATAAAAACTCATACATTATGTTGGATGAAAACTTGAAAGGAAGGTATTTTTAGCCTATGATAATTGCTAAGAGACTAAGTCAATTCACACAAACACATCAATTCATTAACCCATACCATTGACATATATCTTTGTTTGGTAATAACTCTAATGAGTGTAAGATAATTATATTAGTTGCATGTATTTATCTTAAGGGTTAACTATAACTATGTGTTATTCATTATATAAATTTCAAATTGATACATAACCAAAAAAATTCTCACTTTAATGATAATGTAATGTTATATTGGATATTATGGTTAACCAATTATCCAAATTGATTAAACTTTAATTTGGTTGTTGTATTAGTTTGGACGGTTTGGTTATGATATTGTATTTCATGGTTGATAGAAATTGTGCTTATTTGGTTTGGTAATTACCATGGTAACCATTTGAACACCCCTACCCTCTAGTGGGATCTGTTTTTCTCTACTGTTTGTTTGGGATCCAATAGCAACGGGCTCGTGTTGGGGCAGTTTGTGTTGGTTTTGAATTGAATGGGTCATTTTTAGATCCTGTAAGGGCTGGGTTAGCTTAGGACAGGGTCACTTTTTGACTATGTGACACCAAGCAATATGAAATTTCTTGTACCAACACATTGGAACGGTTTGTAAAGTTTTATTATTTTATGTACTATAATCCAAGGTAAAAAAATATAAATGTACAAAAAAATAATTTTTCCATAAAAATTTATCTACCTATTTATAAAAGTAAAGTTTATGTACTAAATTATAAGAAAAATATATTTTGGGTATCAAAATATAATTTTTTAAAAATCATTGTTTTGATTTTAGGCGACCTACTGACTCGGCCTAATCAAATCCAACTCTCCCCAACTCTAGAAGTTCAGACAGAGTCTAAGAGAAAAATAGAGGATGGATGAGCAATTTTATAAATTGATCCTATAAAGATGGATAAAACAGAGTTCATACAGAATCACACAGACGAATCAGACTCAGTTACAGCCCTACCTGTGAGCACATGTTCACAATTGGTCCATAAACTTAATGGTTGGATTGGTTTGAGAATGGGAGTCAAATGAGCAGACATCGCGCAATTTAATAAGAACAAAAAAAAAAAATTCATCAATGGTTTGGCTTTGTTTGATTGTAGTTTAGCTAGTCTTAAGTACCAAATCCTTGGAATGGCAGGTGTATTGTCTTACATGATTACCACAATATATTGTTTTTTTTATAACCACAGAATATTGTTGTTAATATGATTCTTAGGACTAAGCAGATCCATTTAGTTGTAATGTGAGGATGGTAATATTTATCATACTTTGAAGTCAATTTTATCGTAAATAAAAATTCTATAAAAAATATGATAAAATTAATTTTATGATTAAACGGAAATTTAATTTATGGACTACGTTTGGAGACGGATAATTGTTTCAACTTGTTTTTTTTATATAACCCTAGGTTGCTTCATTTCCAAGCTTAAACTACTTGTTCAAGAAGCTTCCCCAACTCATTTGAACAACTTAGATTTTTAGTTAAGCATGGAAGTCGTCTCGGATAGCTAACTTTGCAAATCGGGTTCTCTCGTTTGGCTCGATGAAAATGGGAGTTTATTGATTTGTTTTGAAGGTGTAGTGCTTGTCTACAACTTGGGATGCTTGGAAACTCGAGATGAAGCCCAGAAAATCATTTTCAAAGTTTTCCAAAAGTGTAGGGCGAGACTGGCAATCTGCCAAAATGTGGCCAAGGCAGAATCCATGTCCGAAATCGCGACTTTAAGGCTCAATTCTGGAGGAGTGGCACGAGTCGGATTCAATGGTTTGTTCCCCATCAAAGTACAAGTTTCAGAATACAACGACTAGGCATTGGATAAGTGGTTTGGTTCTTGGAAGCACTCGTACGAAGAGTTCGAAGATCGTATCAAGACTGCATTTTCTTTCTTTGGAAGCTTGTAATCTGAATCCATATAGGATTAGTGGCCTATTTTGGGGTTTTCGTTCTTTCCTTGTTTGTTTGGGTTTCTTTTCGAATTGTATTAGGATTAGGACATCTTACCTTGTTCTGTAAGCTAGCTAGGGTTATTTAAGGGTTGCTTGTGGACGAGTTGCGACTTCAAATTGATCGAGCCTCTTCCCCAATTCTCGGCGAGAAGTTGCACGACCAAAACCATCATATCTTTCCCCTATTTTGTTTCTACAAAACTCAAACCGTACGAATCAAACCCTAGCTCGGGGTTGGGGGCTTATCAAGTAGTAATCAGAGCCTGGTTCTACTTAGCGGTGTTTCACGACGTCGGCAACAGAAGGCGACGCCGGTACAGCGAGGTGGACCAGGTTGAATGGCCCAGTGGATTGTGACCCTGTTGCTGTTTTGCTAACAGAACAGAGGAAGAAGAAATCTGTGACTGCGATGGAGGTTGAGATTGGCGACGACCCAGCCATGGCGGAGCATGCCAACATCGCGGAGCTGCTTCGAACAATCCTGGCGCAGCAAAATACTGCGATCCAAAGCCAATTTGACAATTTGACTAAGCAATTGGCCGAACTTAGAACAACTGTAAACGCCCCTGTTCAACCGAGGGATGTTGCAGGGGAAATTCGGGTGCCTGAACGGAATCAAATTCAGGGCAATTTTGAGTTGCCACCACCAGAAGCAGGACAAGGGAACAATGTTGTTGATTTAAGAGGCATTAAGCTGCAAGTGCCATCGTTTTGTGGTACGAACAACGCCTCCATGTATGTGGATAGGGAGCGTAAAATTACATTGTTCTTTCAATGCGGGGAGTACTCAGAGCCTCAGAAGGTGACCCTCGCAACGTATGAGTTCATTGATTATGCAGCACAGTGGTGGGAAAAAACTCAACTACGAGGTCGATAAAATCTTCAGCCAGATGTAACCACTTGGACGGAGTTACGGGGTCTTATGCGTGACAGGTTTGTACTTGTTTATTATCGCGGGACTTGCACGAGACATTACAAGGATTAAGGCAAGGTGCCCGTTCCGTTGAAGACTACTATCGTGAGCTTGAATGCTCATGATGCGAGCAGATGTCCGAGAGGATTGAGAGGCGACTATTGCTCGCTTTCTCCATGGCTTAAACCGCGAGGTTCGCCAGGAAGTTGAGCTGCGAGCATTTGTTGAATTGGAGGAAGTTGTGCACTTAGCAATTAAAGTGGAGAGACAACTGACTCATTCTAACTACAACATTCCAATTGATGACCAAGTATAAACGTCGAACGATTTGTGCTCCAAGTTCACGGTTTTAGAAACCATGAACTCGCCTTGCGCTAGTAACGACAGATTTCTCCCTGGACGCCTTGCGGTTCATGGTTGGTGGTTCCAGTTCACGGTCTTGGAAGACCGTGAGCTCCGATGTTGGACCGTGAACTGCGGCTGCTTCATGGACGCCTACGCTTCACTGTTACGGGGCAATTGTCACAGTCACTTCAGACTTTTCTTCGGTTTTTGGGCTTTTTGACCTCCGATTATCCCAAAATTCAACCTCAATCCTTCCACACGTGCTAGGACCTGAAATGTATCAAAACAAGCACAACCTAGCGTGAAATATGTCGAGGAACGATGATCTACTAAGCTAAACGAATAAGAAATGAGGGGTAAAATGTGTACATTTGGGCCCGAATCAACAGCTCAAGGTCGCCACTGGCAGGCGATTTCAATCTGCCAACAAAGTCATCTCGGACGCTGTCCCAAGCTCGGGTTCAACCCCATTACGAGCTAAGGTCGAGAGACCAGCAGTTGGCAATCTGCCGGCCAAGAATAAGGGCTCCAGTGCTCAAATTAAGTGTTTTAAGTGCTTTGGCCGCGGGCACAAGGCGAACCCATGCCCAAATTGAAAGACTCTCGTACTCAGAGATGGGGAGTACTATTCTGAAGATGATGAGGAAACTCCGGTAAAGACTATAAGTGATTCTGATGGGAACGAGATCGACGAGGAAATTCAGGCCGAAATTCCTCCACCACCGGGAAATTTGTTTGCTGTCAATCGAAGGGCACTAATAACTACGAGCCGTCCTGAGTCAGATCAACGCGAGATCCTTTTTCAGACTCGCTGCTGTGTCGAAGGGCAATTGCTATTCGTAATCGTCGATGGCGGCAGTTGTTCTAACGTCGTTAGCCAGGACGTGGTTTGCAGGTTGGGACCAACCACAACTCGACATCTAGAGTCATATAACTTACATTGGACAACGTTTATGGCACGATCAAGGTTCAGCGGCAAGATCTTGTGAAATTTGAAATCGGGGATTACAAGGACGAGATGATGTTTGATGTCGCGCCAATGCAAGCCACCCACCTTCTTCTGGGTCGACCTTGGTAATTTGACAGAGGCGTCTGCCATTATGGCGGCACCAATTGTTATAAAGTTCGACTTGATGCGAAAAAGATCATGTTGAAGCCATTAACGCCGTCAAAGGCTCGAGAAGACCAGTGACAATTGGAAGCTGGTCGTCGAGGATTGAAGGAAGAATCTAGCCAGACGAGTCTTGAAGATCATCGTGGCGGCACGCTCCTAACTCGAAAATTTATGCTCACTGGTATAAAAAAGGCAAGGGCTCCGCGAAGTCACCGCCCCTGTGGAGGTCACCGAAGCAAAGCATGAGAGAGGAGGAATTGGTTGGAGCTCTCGAGGGAGCCTCAAACCCAACCAAGGACACTGACTCGATCCATGACACTCTGGGCAGCTCCACCACTGCTTGGATTGAGTCGACTAACGCTGGATTACCGAATCCGATTCGAGCTAATCTTGCTCTGGAAGCGAGCAAATATGCACAGAAATCGGGTCTATTGGGTGGGGGCGATTGATGATGATTCGACACGTGTGGCCAGTGCAGAGCAGTTGCTGATGATCCCAAGAACGTGTAGGAGTGTTCAATTCGGCCTGGGGATACCCGAGAGGGAAACTCCCAATTCAACATTAACAATTATGGGTTCCTCATTTTTGAAGGTCGATGTTGGCGGGAAAAGTGATCGAAGCAATTCGATGGCGATAATGATGAATCGAGCCAGCAGACCCCTACAGAACGACGATTTGGGGTATGGCCAAGCTCTTAGGAGAGGTAATTTAGACTGAGAATGCTTAGATCCGAAATCCCCAATTCCATTGCTCAAGAACTATGACCTAGTTTTCCAGACAGGTCCGTTTGGCATGCCATCTTTCGATCCGATTTGGGAGCAATTTTGTGCAGATTTTGAGAAAAGGAGGGCACCAACTTTGAAGGCAAAGCTTTTGAAGAGGGAGGGCCTGATATAACACTAGGTCGCTTCATTTCCAAGCTTAAACCACTTTTCCAAGAAGCTTCACCAATTCATTTGAACCACGTAGATTTTTGGTTAAGCACGGAAGTCGTCTCAGATAGCTTACTTTGCAAATCTGGCTCTCTCGTTTGGCTCGATGAAAATGGGATTTTATTGATTTGTTTTGAAGATGGAGTGTGTGTTTACAACTTGGGATGCTTGGGAGCTCGAGATGAAGCCCAGAAAATCATTTTCAAAGTTGTCCAAAAGTGTAGGGTGAGACTGGCAATCTGCAAGAATGTGGCTAAGTCAGAATCCATGTCCGAAATCGCGACTTTGAGGCTCAATTTTGGAGGAGTGGCTACGAATTGTATTAGGATTAGGACATCTTACCCTGTTTTGTAAGCTAGCTAGGGTTATTTAAGGGTTGCTTGTGTGTTGTAATAGATTCAAGTTTTAATCGAATGACACGTTTGTTCATTGAGTTTGTCTTGTGAATTTGTCCTTGGTTTGATTGGATCGAATCCATCAATCGAGCGAGATCTGCATCAATTGAGTAGCCACCTCAATTGTGGACGAGTTGTGACTTCAAATTGATCGAGCCTCTTCCCCAATTCTCGGCGACAAGTTGCACGACCAAAACCATCCTATATTTCCCCTATTTTGTTTCTACAAAACTCAAGCCCTAGCTCGGGTTTGGGGGCTTATCATATTTATCATACTTTGAATTCAAGTTTACCGTAAATAAAAATTCTATAAAAAATATGATAAAATAAATTTTATGATTAAACATAAATTTAATTTTCGGACAACGTTTGGAGACGACTAATTTCTTCAACTTATTTTTTCTACAATTGGATTGATTGTATAGGTGAATTTGGTGAGATATGGATTCCACAAAGTACATTTAAACAAATTAGCAACCATAGTCGTGGGGTATTATACTCTTAAGATGCGAGGTCGGAGGTTGCTGTCAAGAACTAGTTGGTTCCAATTACTCGAATTGTTGAGAGAGATTCAATTATGCATCATACATCATGTAATAACACGCCCCGTCAAACGAAAGCCAACTCAACGAGATTTGAACATAAGACCTCTCAGCCACAGAAGGCTCTGATACCATGTCAAGAACCGATCCCGATGACTCGAGTTGTTGGAAGAGGTTTAATAATTGATCTTATATCACATACTAACACGCCCCTCAAATGAAAGCCACTTATAAGGACTTGAAGTTTGCACATGTCCAAATACCATATGCTAACAAATAGGGGTCGTGGGGATACGAACATAAAACATCTCGATCACAGAAGGCTTTGATACCATGTCAACAACCATTTGGCCTCAATTACTCGAATTGTTGGGAGATGTTTAATTATGGATCATATATTATGTACTAACAGTTGTGGCCAATCCTTTCTCTAGACCTTTGGTCTCTACCCAGAAATGATAAAAAAAATGGGATCATATATTATGGGCTTGTTAAGAAACTGTCCTCCCTAGATCAAGTAGGGATGACATATTTGTGAGTGATCCTACCTGTTTCCACTTAGTACATGAGTATTGTCCATCTCGCCTTGACCTGTCCCGTTCTAGTTTACTTTTCTTCAATTCTTATGCGTACATGTGCCAGCGGCAGATCCAAGATAGTGTAGAGCACTGAGTCACGTTTGAAAAAGAGGCAGAGAGGACTGGACCATAACCCGACGAGCACCGAGACCAATAATTAAAATAAAAATTTTACAAGGGCTATACTAGCTCTGGATCCAGTAGAGGGCTGAGTCGTGGCCTGGGGGAGGCCCCCTAGATCCACCGCTGACATGTGCTCTTTTGACTTTATATAGAACAATAAAGTTATAATTGGGTCTACCCCTTTATTCTTTAAATAAATATTATTTTTTTACTAATTGAAATATTATTTCTCATTTTTTTAGTTAATACTTTGTTTTAGTATGAACTTTACGCTTATATACTAATTTTTTCCAGAATTTTCTAATATCTCCATTTATTAACCGTCCAAGTAGACGGTCAATCCACAGGTCGAGCAAAAAATGGTTAAATAGTAACCCATTTTGTAGAGGATGGAAATATTAGAAAACAAAAATAATATATTGCTAGAATATATATTCATACACCTAATATGTAACGGATGTGAGTACTGAAATATCCGTTAATATTATGTCAAATAGGGGAGCAGATCCGGTGAGTAACCTTGTGGTGAGTAACCCCATGCATAACCCAATAAGAATCTGCCACATCAGCGCCTCCTTCTCTCTCCTGGAAAAAACATTAATTTTCTTTCCCTTAATCCTTTCCCTTAATCTTTAACGGATGATTTCTCACTCTTTTAACTCAGAATTTAATTTTTTGCACAGTTAGATCAGATTAATTGTGCTCTTCAAAATGATATTCACTTTGATATTTTTTGGAACAAAAAGTATTGACTGGTATTAAATAACAGCATACCATATGGTATGAAAAATACCACCTCATACCAGGGTGGTATAGTATAGTATGGAGTTGGTAACGATTCAAAATGATATTCACTTTGATATTTTTTGGAACAAAAAAAAATGCCAGTTATTACCAGTCAATACCATATTATTACCAGTCAATACCATATGGTATTGACTGGTATTAAATAACAACATACCATATGGTATGAAAAATACCACCTCATACCAGGGTAGTATAGTATGGTATGGAGTTGGTAACGAGAGTTATGGAATTTTTTCCCCCATAAAATTTTGAAATCCAATAGATCATGATTAAATCGTTCCTTTTGTGCAAAAATTTCCGAAAATGACTAAACAGCGAAGGAGATACCATATGGTATGGAGTTGGTAATGAGAGGAATGAACATTTTTTCTCAAAAAATATTGAAAATGGATATCATTTTGTAGAGCACAACGAACTCGTTCCATCTGTGCAAAAAGATTGAAATCCGAGTTAGAACGAAGAAGATATGATCCAATTAAGAAAACTAGGAAAAATAAATTCATTTAATTCTCCACCCTTAGATCTGCAGTCACATAAAGAAGGGTCCAGATTTGGTTACTCATTGTTACTCACCCTAAGGTTACTCACCCTATCTTCAGTCGTCAAATAGCAAGGAGGGCAGTTATTGCCTATTGGCCCACCATATTCCTATAACTTCCTTCTAGTTAATTGGTTTGGTTTTGAACAGTAAAAGATAATTTTGAGAGACAAACTAAAGTTGGCTGCTACTTCTACTACTTGCAGCTGCAGCAGCATGCAGATTGCAGAGTTAACAAACGGCGACCGTGAGCGTGGGGAAGCATAAGGTGACTAAGGGAGGTGCTTAGTCACTTGATTAACCCTCTCTCAACTCTTAAATCTAAAAACATCAATCCAACGATTAAAAAATAGGAATGACTTTCAAATTACTGACATAGATAGTTTGGGTATTATGAAAATTACGAAGTATACAAAACAGACTTATAAACAGTACAAATCATACAAACAATACAAACTAGAACGACAAAACATACAAACATTATAAAAGAAACCAACAAACATTACAAAAAGAACAAACTTACAAATATTATAAAAGAAACCAACAAACATTACAAAAATAACAAAACTTACAAACATTACAAAACAAATTGACAAACATTAAAAAACATACTAACAGTACAAAATGCCACTACTTGCAATACAAAACAGTAAACTTGTAATATAAACCAATAAATACAAAGTATACAAATCATAACATAAAGTATACAAACTAGACAAACAATCATTACAAATTACAATATATACAAAATAGTAATATAAACATTACAAATATAATAGACAAACATGACAAACAAGAATTATAAACAATACAAACTGAATTTACATAAACATTACAGACCATACTTATAAACATTACAAAATAGTTCGACAAACATCACAATCAGCACTGTCACCGTTGCCACCTCTGATGGCCGGGAAAATCTCTCTCACACTCTCTCTCTCTCACCTGGAAAAATCCATTCCCCATGTCTCCTGCCGCAAAAGAAATGGACAGCAGGATTAAAGAATGGACAGCAAATTAGAGTTACCGCCGGCTAAAAGGAAACGCCGGAAAAGAAACCAACGCCGGAGGGAAAGTTTCCCGATCGGGGGAACCACGGAAGTGCGAAGGTAGCAATGGCCACATTGATTTTTTTATATTTATTGTTTTAATTAATAAATTAAATAATCATGTATTTATTATATTGTCTTTCTTTGGATTGGATTAATGTGAGCCATTGGAGATTAATGAGCTGGAAGAGCTGAGATTCACTTAGTCATGTGACTATGGGACCCCCTTAGTCACCTGATCTTAGCCCGTGAGCGTGAGGAGCAAGGTTGTCAACCCGGTTAAGCTCGTTGGCCAGGTCAAGCAAGTGGGTTGAGGTTAATGGACCGACCGCTTTAGTCTGGTTTAATCTGAATGTATGATAGGGGTGTTCAAATGGTTACTAAGATAATTACCAAATAAGTCTAAATTCTATTAAGCAAAATAACCAATATACCATCACATTATCATTAAGTGAGAAATTTTTCCTAGTTAGTGCATCAATTTGCAATTTATATAATGAATAACACATAACAATCAACCCAAAATTATAGTTAACCCTTAACATATATACATGTAACTAATACAATTATCTTACATTTTATTCGTGAGTGGTTATGCAAAGTATTAAGTATCTCTATATAATATATGAGATATATAGCTAATTTAATTACCAAACCACCTAAACCAAACAAGCTAAAAAAATTAACCAAACCAATTAACCAAATTAACCAAACCAAATTATCCAAATACTACCAGTTAAAATGGTTCCCACGGTAACCACACCATTTGAACACCCCTAGACTATAACTCATTATATTGTTCATACATATATAAATTATATGAAATATCATCAAACATAGGAGTAATAACGTGTAACATTACACCAAAATAACATGGCGTACTTGGATCGAATATAAAGTGAAAATTCACCCACCTCATACTTATACAACATTAATGTTCAAAGTGCAACTTACAATTTCAAAGATTGGATTAAGCGAAAAGAAAAATTGGAAAATAAGTACATTTCGCAAAATAAAGAAAAAACGACATCGTTTATCGTCCAATACGATACTTTGCAGAGAATCGACACGACGGGTATATACGACCCGTTTTTCTCACCGGCTCAGGGTTGACAACCTTGCTGAGGAGTGAGGTGGGCACTCCGAGAGCAAGTGGACAAAGGAAATTGAAACCCATTTCTTTTTTATATTTTATTTTATTTTTATCATAATGTAATTATTTCTCTGAAAATCAAATTTTCGTCGACTACTACGGTTGGTTATTATATTCGTTGTAACTTTAGGTTACCTATGACCAAAAAAAAAAAAGAATTCAATCATATCTTTAGGTTGCTCTTTTTTATGGATACTTTATTTAGGGGTCTTTTCGGAATTTGAAGTATATTAGATTTTAGATGATTTAAAGATTCTAACTTTTGTATTGTATATTAAAATGCAACCATGAAAAATATAAATTAGAAATTTCTATCAAATGGCATGCTATCTTAATAAAAAAAATATGGGTCGCTATAAAAATATCAAGAATATATTGGTAAGCATATTCGGTCGCAGAGCCTCCTACAAACTGAGCTTGCAAAGTAGTCACGTTAAAACAAAAACGACAACTATATGGACTTTTGTCGTAGTGAACTATTTACATTTTAAAATTGTAATGAAAAACTAAAAATTGAACGAGTCTACCAATTTCAACAAAAATTTAACTTTGTCAACCGTTCCAAAGCACGATGTGATTTAACTCCTACGACATGTTATAACATCACAATATCTCCTAAATACTGTTTAAAAAAAAATATCTCCTAAATGTTTTCCCCCAAATTTTTGAAGAAAAGAGACCCAACTAAATGCACAAGATGTTAGATACATTACCAAATCAGTACTCTACTCATAAATCATAATGAATCTTCACATCATCTCGAATATATTATTAAATATTAGATGCATTATGGGGGTTGAAGATTCCTGTCTGTATAATTTATTCTAGGAATTCTATAGCCGTTCATTGAAAAGGGGAACGCCATTTTTTTATAAGTGGAAAATATATTGATGAAAATGTAAGCATGAAGCTGGAAAACAAATATGGGCGAACATAAATTAAACGTACATGATTCAGTTGTTGAAAGATCTGCATCACCAAACAAGCAAGTTGATTATATATGCCGTGTTTTTATACAGATTCACCGCAACGACTGTATTTTTTAATCCTTCCTAATGTTGAACATATAGTTATGCCAATGTACTAAGTCGGGCCAAAAATAATAAAATAGCTTTTACCTTTTGTGTCTGTGACAATTGTAGACAAATCCATGCATGATGGTTAACTTGATATTTTACACCCTGATAAATTCACCTCTTTGTGGCTCCCTAAAAAATAATAAATACGAAAAGTTAGGCCCTAAACGTTATTGATATGTTGGTTATTGACATGCTCAAATTTCAACTTGGGGATTACAGTTTTTAGTCCAATTAATGTATATATACACGTGAATGGTACAAAAGAAAAATCATTGAATTTCTCCCAATAATCGTTTATTAGATTGAAATATCGGCCGCTTACCACTCAAGCGACGGTCTCAACAAATAAAGAGTCTTTATAGAAACCAAACGATTTAAAGTGGTACAAGTAGATCAAATTTCCCAAGAGCGTCGCAATGGCTAGCTGCTTCGCCATCTGGGAGTCTCTCGGAACTCGAAGGGGAATCTAGCTCTTAGTTTAAGCAAGCTGCTTGAGATCACTCCTGAGCAAGGTTGTCAAACCGGTTTAAGTCATTGAGCCGGTCAAGCAAGGGGTTTGAGGTTTAATGGTCTGATCGGGGTCCGGCCGGTTTGAGCCGTTTTAGACGTTTTCTAAATATATATACAAATAAAGTAGTAATTAAAAATTTAATGAGTGAAATAAAATTTATCTTACATATATCTATTAAAAACTTATTTTCAACAAAATAAATCTACCTAACCTCCATGATCCACCTACCATTTCCCTTCCTTCGTTCCTTTTCCTCTCTTCTGCCTCTCTTCTTCTCCCTGTTTAGGGGTCAGACCGGGGGGTTTTCTGGAGGCCGTTTTGAAACCCGACTCGGGTTGAACCGGGTCCAACCGGGGGGTTCGATAGGGGTTTAACAACCTGAGAAGGTAAAAGACAGACTTTTTTTTAGGTAGAAAAAAGGCAGACTTTTTGATTACCATGTGAGAGTTGGTTTGTCGGTAATTCCCTAAACTCCCACTTCTCCACTACTGATCCAACAACAACATGCACTGCACTGCACTGCACTTGTACTCTAACAGGCGAGTGGACATGCAGAAGATCCTCCTTCGTTGAATCACTTGTCCTGTAAGGCCAGTGGGTAGCCCCGGCTAAAATTGCGTAAACCGGAGCACCAATGAAATTAAGAACAAAAAAAAAAGTGTTATTAATTTATTATTACAATTTGTTTTGTCAAAGAATATTGTCTTTATTTGTTGTTGTGGGGCGGCGGGTTTTGTCTATACACGTGTTGTCCGATTCGACGGCCAAATGCGGTGGATGATGACGGCTACTAGAATGCGGACAATGCTGCAGGTGGGTCACCTTGCCGGCCGGCGGGACTAAACCAAAATATACACCAATGTCTATTCGTACACATATATGTCGCTGGTTAAAAGAGGCCACAGTCATAATTTCGCTTTTGTGATCCAAGAACTTTTAGTCCAGCCTTCCTCGCAAAGCAGTTTTGGAACCTGCAAACAAGATTACGTTAATTGGTGGCTAGGTTAAATACTAACGACGTTTTAAAGTTGAGAATCGAAACAAAAACAAGACACGACTTTCAGTCACATGGTTCTGTGTTGTCGACCGCTAATACATCTTTCCTTGGATTGGTTCCCTTCATCATACATCCCCCGATTGAGACTAAGCAAAGTGGAGACTGCTGGCAACAAGGAACCACCACCCATCCGCCACCCGTTCGGTTCTGTTTCTCTGCACATTCATTCATTGAATGCCGTCTCAACCTCTGCTAACTGCGACTGGTTTTGAACCATTGTCCCAAGCAAACGTCTCGTCGAACCCTTGGCCACATCTCACAGAAACCACCAAACAATCGTTTTCTCATTCGCTTTATGAGTAAGATTCCATGAACCATCTCTGTCTGATTCCTCAAGAGTACTGCGGCATGGTACAAGCGTAGTATTTATTGTCATTTTATCATCTGTCACTGCCTCCAACTTCTGCATTCGTCATCATGCAATGATGATGATTGACACCAGTGTTTTCCTGTTGACATTTGTAATCATCTATCCTATTAAGAGATGCAACATGGAAGGTGATGTGCTAACGAGTTAGAGGCTATCAATTAAACCATGGGACTAGACTGTTCAAGGCTCTGCAGTTACCTCACGACTGAAGGAAGTTGCGGAAAAAGAGGTTTGATGCCTCTCGTCCTGCAGGCTCTACACTCTCCGATCTCCTTTAACCGCAAGAAACTGTCAGCAACATGCTTAGGCAATACCCTTTGAAGCTGCAATGACTAGCTTGATAAATGAGTTTGCATAGCAAGGAAACAAAGAGTCAGAAGCAGAAAGAAAGGCAGCATCATTAACAAAGACTGTGAGTTACCAATACATAGGATTCGTGATAAGTATATGAGGAGAAGAAAATGAGAAACATGAATGTGCTTATTTTGCGCATTCATCACCATGACTGTTGAAAGCAAACACAGACTTAAAACAATGGATGCTATCTGCTAGCAAATCGTTTTCACCATAACCACAATCACCCATGGTTGAGAAGAGTTAACTTCCCTCCTGCAACACTTGGGAAGTGCCAAAGTTTCAGAAACAACATACTCTTCTAATTCTCATGCACATGGTTACTTGACCTGCTCAAATTTTCCACCCATTAATACTGAGAAATGCCCTTATGCAAACACCACAAACACATGCCAGTTTCCCTGCTTGGCTATACACCGGTATGCAATAAAGGGATTAGTGTAATTCAATCATCAGTTTGAATCAATTATCCATCAAGCCTGCAACTGAATGAAGCACAGCAAAATGGATATCATACCAACAATGCTAACAGTACCTTCATACCATACCAACAATGCTAACAGTACCTTCATACCAAAAGGGGTAAATGAATAAGTAGAGAGTTAATGCCGTAGTTATGCAGCGAGGAGGGTTAGCAATATCTTCCACTTCTGCACATAAAAACTGAGAAGATTGGCCAGAAACAACACTTTCAATTGAAGATTCCGCCTTTCCGCAACCCTAATAATGTACAACACAGGTAAAGTTCAAGCAACTGTTGGATACAGGATAGGTAAAACCAGTATGAAATTCGATACACATGAACAGAGAGTTGATCCAGAAGCACAATTCTCTAAAGCAAAAACGATGCCCCATTGCGCTGATCATTGAACCCTCAAACGAATTGCCGAGAAGGAATAGGTACGATTTGAGTAAATGGAGAATCAGAAATGCAAAATTTTCCTTTCCAAGATGGCAAAACCCTAGAAATTTCACTGTGAAGAATCAAATCCTTTATTGCGCATCATTTACTAGGAGGGCTAACAAGAAGACTGTATTTATAATGAAAGTTACAAGGAAAAGGGATTCAATGCTCTACTCCCCCAATCTCTACTTCCAATCAATGAGCAGCAACAACTACTTCGCTATTCAACACACTAATCAAAGACCCATTACTGCTACTACTGCTGTTACTAATACTATCGGCGGCGCCACCATTAGCCGGTTCCAAACCCAGATCGGAAGGGACCAAGCCGCCGGCTAGTAGGATAGATCTAGCAGCGACGAGTTTCTTTCTGGTTAGGGATCGAGGGCCGTACAGCTTTGCCGAAAAGCAGGGGACGCCATCGCCGTCGGATGAGGGAACTGGTGGAGGGGAGTTGTGATCAGAATCGGGACGGGGCGGAGGAGACTTGGGTCGGAGAGATCTGGCGGCGCTGATTTTGGAGTCCCTGAGACGGGCGAGGGCGCCGGGCTTGAGGTAGCGTTGGAAGCAGCAGTGGGTCGGCTTGGGAGATCTGGAGATGCCCACCATTTTTGAGAGAGGAAGAAGTGAAGAAGAGGAGGCGATGGATGGATTAGGGAAGGAAAGTGGGGATAGGGTTTTGGAATTTAACAATGGCAGGGAGGGAAGGATTGTGATTGTGGGGGGGGGAAAGGAGCGTTAGGGGAGCGGGAAAAATGAAATGAGGAGCGGTGGCGTTTAGGGGAAGCAACGATTAGGGTTTTAAAAAATGGCCATGGCGGGAATCAGGGGGTGCCGACGGGCGACTTTCCTAATATAATCACGTGACCGTTTTCCGCGCTTAGTGCTTTCTCACTGTCCACTACTCTGCTTAATTAGCCATTTTTTTATTTAATTTATTTCAATTACAGTGGCCAGTGTGGATTTTGACCAACGGTTATTATTAGTAGCTGAGTTGTACCCGCAACAACGGGTCAAGATAGGATGCATAACCATGGGTTATGCACCAATTAATAACCAAATAAATCTGGAGCTTTTATTTAGAAAATTCAGACTTAAGGAGGGAGAATTAAAGATCATTTTTATTTTTTCTAACTTTTTTAATTGACTCATATCTTTTTCGTTTTAACTCGGATTTTAATTTTTTGCACAGATGGAACGAGTTCATCGTGCTCTACAAAATGAGATCAATTTTCAATATTTTTTGAGAAAAGAAAAATCTGGCCTCTTGGTACCAACTGCATACCATATGGTATTTTCTTCGTTTTTAATTCGTTTTTGAAAACGTTTGCACAGAAGAGACGAGTTCATCATGATCTATTGGATCTACAAATTTATGGGTGAACAAATTACAGGACCAAAAAATACCACACAATACCATACAATACCACCCTGGTACGGGGTGGTATTGTATAGTATCTTCTTCGTTTTTAATTCGTTTTTGAAAACGTTTGCACAGAAGGGACGAGTTCATCATGATCTATTGGATCTACAAATTTATGGGTGAACAAATTACAGGACAAAAAAAAAACCACACAATACCATACAATACCACTCTAGTACCGGGTTGTATCTTGTGGTATACAATGTTAAAAGTCGTAAATGACAATTAATATATTTCTACTATTGTGTATTCAACCATCCTACAGTCTTGGTTTGTTCATACCACCATGGTACTTTTTTCAAACCATAGGTATGCTTTTATTTCAATACTAGTCAATACCATATGGTATAGACTGGTAAAAAATGGCTCAATTTTTTTTGTTCGAAAAATATATTAAAGTGGATATCATTTTGAAGAGCACAATTAATCTGATCTAACTGTGTAAAAAAAATTAAATTTCGACTTAAAATGAGTGAGAAATCGTCCGTCAAAGATTAAAGAGAGGGAAATTAAAGGCTTTCAAGGAGAGAGATGATGCTGATGTCATGCTTATGTGGACGAGTTACTCATCGTTACTCACCATAAAGTTACTGACCTGATCCATTCCCCGGAACAACGTAAAGATTGACCGTACCAGCCGGGAACGGATCAGGTCAGTAACCTTATGGTGAGTAACCATGAGTAACCCGCCCACATCAGCATGACATCAGCATCCTCTCTCTCCTGGAAAGCCTTTAAATTTCCCCTCCTTAATCTTTGACGGACGATTTCTCACTCGTTTTAAGTCGAAATTTAATTTTTTTGCACAGTTAGATCAGATTAATTGTGTTCTTCAAAATGATATCCACTTTGATATATTTTTCGAACAAAAAAAATTGAGCCATTTTTTACCAGTCTATACCATATGGTATTGACTGGTATTGAAATAAGAGCATACCTATGGTTTGAAAAGCGTACCATGGTGGTATGACACAAACAAAAAATGTAGGATAGTTGAATACATGATAGTAGAGTATATTAATTGTCATTTACGATTTTTAACATTGTATACCATAAGATACCACCTTGTACCAGGATGGTATTGTATGGTATTGTGTGGTATTGTGTGGTATTTTTTGGTCTTTTAATTTGTTCACCCAGAAATTTGTAGATCCAATAGATCATGATGAACTCGTCCCTGTTGTGCAAACGTTTTCAATAACGAATTAAAAACGAAGAAGATACCATATGGTATGCAGTTGGTACCGAGAGGCCATCATTTTTTTCTCAAAAAATATTGAAAATTGATCTCATTTTGCAGAGCACGATGAACTCGTTCCATCTGTGCAAAAAAAATTAAAATCCAAGTTAAAACGAAAAAGATATGAGTCAATTAAGAAAGTTAGGGAAAATAAAAATAGTTTTTAATTCTCCATCCTTAGATCTGGATTTTCTAAATAAAGGGTCCAGATTTGATTATTGGGTTATGCACCCTATCTTGAGCCGTACCAGCCCATGTACTAACATATTACTAGGTTAGTAGTTTGGTTTGATTTTCCGGTTAAACCGAGACCAAAATTTCCCAATTAGGATTAAATCAACCAAGCATTACGAGATTCAATGGTGACTGACCTATATTGCTTTTCTTCTTAACAAAGAGATGAATTAATCCTAAGGAATTCTATCTTGAAACTATGTAATTTGTTTGATGTACTGGTTGTAACATTTTTTTAGGGGTTAGTACCTTATTCTAGTCCGAAGTATGATCATATAATCAATTTTGGTCTTTGGTTTCAGAAATTAACATCTTGGCCTCAACTTTGTATCATATAGACTCAATTGGCCCGACCCGTGAATTTCCGTCAGATTAGACGATCAACATCATTGACCGTTAGTGAATCAGCATGATTGCTGACGTGGATGCCAAGTTGAAAATAAAAATTAAATTAAAAATACAAACTGAAAATTAAAATAAAAAAACTCATCCCTTGCCCAATCCTTCTTCCCCAATGATAGATATCTGAGATTTCTGTTCTGTTTTGTGTGTGGTGCCGTTCTGCTCGTAGCGCTACTGCACTAGCATTCGCGTGAGCAGGAAATGGTAGGCTTCCTCAATCGTTTCCAGAGCAACTCCTTCACTTGTTTCACCTGCTGGGTTTTGATCTGACGAGGAAAAGACACAGAGAGAAGTTCGGGGAACAACTCCAGTTCCACCACCTAATCTTCCATTGAGTCGGGATCAGAAAAGGCCACGGCAGAGATAGATCCTTTAGATCTAGGATGTCAAGTCCTTCTCCTTCTTCCGCTCTGTATTTCCAGCCGCTGCCGGAACCGATAAAAGACGCATCTGCCGCCGAACTGTCCTCCATCTTCCCCGTTGCTGCACCGGAGGCGGAAGAGAAATAATACCCAGAAGAAGATGGAGCCAAAATCGAAGGATCGGGAAAAGAAGCCGGAATAGACTAGCTTGCCCGACGATTTCTTTTATTTTGATTTCAGTTTGCGCTTGCTTGTTCTAACCCTTGTTTTGCAAATGAAGGCTCTGTATTTAGTCACGCTAAACATAGACCCCAGATTCCCTCGCTCCGAAAGCTTTCAGATCTAGTTTGGGAATGATGGCGGTGGGTTGGGTCGATGTAATGGGAGGGAGAGGACGGAGATTGAGTTTTGTGCGACGGCTACGGAAATGGGGAGGGGGGGAGTTTGGGAATGTTGACGGTGGGATGGGCACTGGCGGATCCAGGGGGTGGCCACCCCAGACCCCGGCCCAGCCCTCATCTGGATCCGTAGTTACTATATAGTCCATATGAAATTTTTGATTTTACACATTCGACCCAATGTTATTCTATGATAAGATTGGGTTTAACTAGAAAAATTATCAAGTTGAACATATCAAATCACTATTCTAAATTTAGCCTAGAAATTTTAGCCCCAAAGATCATGCGTCTTAAAAAAACAGTGAAACCTAAAATTCTAAAAAGTTTAAAACGTAAAAGACTAAAAGAAATATGAGGTTTGTTTCATTACAAATTTACTAAAGTAGCTGGTGTGTAGGGATGGACACACAATGCAAATTGATTAGTCGATTGTTTTATCTAGTGTTGATGCTGCTCGTTTCAACAGCTACTACTAAGAGAACCTTTTTAACAATGAAACATGTGAGAACTGATTTGCTCAACAAAATAAGCGATGAATTTCTCGCCGTTTGCTCAAGTATTTTATTTGAAACAGTGTATACTATTGGTATGGATGTAGACTTCATTATTGATGCATTCCCTAATTTAAAATACAGTCGTGTACAATTTACATTGCAAAAAACTATAATCATTATATTTTTCTACGGTTCTAATTTTTTAATGAAATGCGGCCCAGTGCTCTTCTGTATTCTGGATCTGCCGCTGGGGATGGGTCGATGTGGGAGTGAGAGGAGGACGGAGATGGAGTTTCATGAGGCGGCGGGGGAACCGGGGAGGAGGAAGTTTGGAAATGGCGGCGGTGGGATGGTTCGTAGTGGGAGGAGAGGTGGACGGAGATGGAGTTTTGTGCGGCGGCGGAATTGGGGAGGGGGAGTATGGGAATGGTGGCTGTGGGATTTAGGAAAAGGATTAACCCAATAATAATTTTGATATTTTTTTATTATTTATTAATTACAAAAAGAAAATAATAAAGAACATTTTAATTTGAATTCTTTTTTGTTTGGTGCTAACATGGCACTGATGGCAGTAACCTGGACAGTTGACTAACGGTCAATTGTGTTGACCGTCCAAATAGACGGTCAAATCACGCATCTGGCCAATTGAGTCTATATGCTGAATAGTTGAGGTCAGTATGTTAATTTCTGAAACCACAGGCCAAAGTTGATTATATGGTCATACTTCGAGCCAGAATAAGGTATTAACCCTTTTTTTAGTGTGTACATGCTCAATTTTAGAAGGTACTTACTCGAGAGTGATTCATTAGCTTTATGTTTCTCACACTTCTAGTATGAGCATTGATATTTACTTGTAGACTAGAACGGAAGCCCGCGCTACGTGGCGGGAGGTGAATTTAGTAATTTAAAACTATAGTTTGTGAGGAGGCCGAGTGACAATGCAATTATTGAGTGCCTAAATAAAACAATGTGAAATGCAGAGATTCAAAACTAGGCAAAGGCTTTGATGTTTCAAAGGGATGGAAAAGGCACACATATGAACCGCACAACACTAATAAAAAATTCCCACTAATGGTGATTATATATCAATGGTTTGATCTAAGCTTGTAAAAGTTAAGAAAAAAAGTGGTATTGTCTGGAAGGGATGCCAATCCAAGTCTCCCAATGTAGCATCACCCACCCGAACTACTTTAAGACACCACTGCATAAAAGATTAAATGACAAATCATAATCATCAGTGTACATTATGAACAAAGAATCAAAAAATCCAATACCAATCAAGTCCACAAAGGGCAACATAAACTACAATAATAAACTCGAGAATAAGCTAGCCTGACAATCTTACAAATACCTGCTCCTTGTCAAAAGGAAGAAATGAATGGCTGAGTGTCCACCCCCAAACTTAAGGCTTCTACAACTGCAAGATTATTGAAAACCATTAAAAACTGGAAAAGAGAGGATAACAACATAGGTAGTAGTATATTTCAAGAGCTAAGAAGGAATATGACATGTGCCTCATTGAACCGAATATCAGTTTCACATAGGTGCCATGGCGACCACTCAAGCATTTGTGAATGAGTAAGTGCGATGAAATTATTAGGAAGGAGCAAAACCAAACAATTTTATACATGCACAAAGAAAAAATCAGACATATAACCTTTAGTATATACAACTTTCAAAAGGCAACTACATTTTTGCAATATACATAAAGAAAGAATCGGACATATACTTTAAAAGAAACTCAAAGTAGTCTCAAAGTGGAAATTCCATGTCGAGAATGGCCGTCATATAAAGAGTTCTTTCAAATGTAGAAATTAACATACCATTTGTGAGGGCACAATGTACAGTAGCTAAAAATTCATTTCGTTATAAGCAGCATAGAAAGGACAACCAAGCATGGATGAGGCTTAGTTTGAGGCATAATATCCCGAGAATAACTAAGAATCACAGGAAGGTAATATGAAATATTGAGTGAGTGACTCTGACTCTGCTCGTTACTAAGAAAAACAAAGAGCAGTAATTCATGACACAACATAAAGCCCATTCCATGACGCAGTTGGGGTTTAAAATATTTTAGGACTTCAAATTGAACACCAATGCCATGAGAGAACAACTTTGCAAACCTTACTCACACATCCTGCATATTGTTCTCACCAAAGCATTTTCGGGTCTAAGAATTAAAACTGTAAATGCTAGGCAATTCGAACTATAAATTAGAGACATGAAAGGCAATTGAAGCATTAAATGGAAAAGCAACCGACTGAAACGAACACAAACTTTAATGTTATGAACCATGCACGTCCTCCATTATTCATCTTTCGAATGCAAAAGAACAAAATCAATAAAGGGATGCAAAAGAACATAAACAATTTCTCTATCGTCTCCATGGCATAAACACAGGTTACACCATTCAAACTAAATAAAAATTTAGTTATTGCAAATTGTTCCTCAAAATGCATCCTCCCAAACTTTCAAATTAATTGTGCATGGAACATTCTGTAAGCAAAACTAATCAGGGCCATCCTAGTGTAAGCACCTTTTGCAACAATGAATCCCAACAGGGTCCAATCTAACCGTACGAAAATCAGTAGATAAGAGCATGTTAAAATGATGGGAAGAGAGACAAAGAGAAAGAGGAGCTCACCATTATTGACGGTTTGGTTTGACTATCACTTCCGATGAGGCTATCAAGAATTGATCCACCTCAACTGCAGCCCTCTCCCCAAATATAACACATAAGAACTTTGAAAACTGAGCGTAAAGAGCCTGGTAAACTATATACAATTCAAATCGTACTACTTATCATTTAACCATAGGTAGTAGTATGCAGCACATGTATGATGATGTCGATGACTATTGCGGTATAATCCACTCTTCTACCATCCAACGACTACATATAATCCTTCACAACCACCCAAAGAAGTAAAATACTATGAGTTGTTGGCACCTGTCAAATGGAACATATAAGATTGGATTAAAAAGTTGGTTCACTAAAACAGCGAAAGTATCAGGGGAAAAGATGGAATGTTTGGGGTCGTGACTTGTTCAGTGCAACCATAAATCTGTAAAATGCGAGAAACGAGTAAAGCGAAATAAGATGAGACACCGGGATTTACATGGTATCCCCGTTCAATGTGAACGGGACTAATCCACGAAGAGTTTGGAGCTCTCGGAGAAAAACTAATGTTGTTGTCTTCTACAATTGTGTTGCTCGGCCACAAGGGGAACCGAGATACATAAAGGAAAAAACCCTAGCTCATTTCCTTGTGTAACACGGAGCTGTGCAAATAACGAAGTGATCCCTAATTTAATAAATGATTAGAATTAGGAATCACTACACTCCCCCTCAAGAGAAGGAGTGAATGTTAAGAAGTACGAGCTTGACAAAGAGATGATGAAACTAATCCACACTCAAGCCCTTCATGAAAAGATCTACAGGCTAATCATCGGTAGCAATCTTGGCCAGAGCTATCTCGCCAGATTGAACACGCTCCCGAACAAAATGGCAATCCATCTCGACATGCTTAGTGCGCTCGTGAAAAACCGGTTTAGCTGCAATATGAAGGGAAGCCTGGTTATCGCAAAACAAGGCAGCAGAACTCGAGGAAGGCGCACCCAAGTCGCGGAGAAGCCATCGTAACCAGAGAATCTCACTGACTGCACTCGCTATAGACCTATATTCAGCTTCAGCCGAGGAACGCGCAACGACAGTCTGTTTCTTGGTGCGCCAAGAAATGGGAGTCACCAAGAGTAATGAAGAAGCCCGTTGTGGAGCGATGGGTGGTGAGACATCCACCCCAATCTGCATCACAAAAACCGGTCAGTGTAAGAGGCGTTGAAGCTGAGAAAAAGAGACCACGACCTGGAGTGCCCTTAAGTTAGAGGAGGACGCGAACAGTAGCATCCTCACGTGCCTGAGTAGGTGACTGCATGGCCTGACTAAGAAGGTTAACGACATAGGTGATATGGGGACGCGTGACTGTCAGATAGAGCAAGTGACCGATGAGACGTCGATAAGCAGCTGGATCACGGGCAGGAGGAGAAGGTAAATGTCCCAAGCTATGCTGCTGCTCAATTGGCGTAGAGCAGGTGCAAGCAGCCGTCAAGGCAGTGTCGGCCAAGATGTCCAAGAAGTATTTACATTTATTAAGAACAAGACCCTTGGGTGAACGAGCAACCTCAATGCCCAAAAAGTACTTGAGGTTCACAAGATCCTTGATAGTAAAACGATCATGGAGAAAAGTCTTGACCTGTTGAATGAAGGACATATCATTGCCCGTGAGAATGACATCGTCGACGTAGATTAGAGTGACAACAAAGATAGAACCGCGACGGTAGATAAAAAGAGCATGATCAGCTCTGCTCTGAACAAACTGAAGCTCTAATAAGGCCTGGGTGAACTTCTGATACCAATTACGAGAAGCCTGACGCTGACCACAAATAGACTTATGTAAGCGACAACCCCGAGTATCATCCGGACGGGAAAACGCTTGAGGCTCAGTCATATAAACTTCCTCTTGCAAATCGCCGTGGAGAAAAAGCATTGTTCACATCGAGTTGATGAATATGCCAACCTCGAGTGATAGCAATGGCTAGTACACAACGAATAGTCACGAGGTTAG